ATGCGAAACCCTCAACGTTATCACGACATAAAGATATGTGGATCTGTCCATCGCATCAAGATGCATTAAGCGAAGTGGTATGACTATTTCATTGGCGACGTATTGTTTTCGTTAACTTACGATGGGAGCTTCCCATCCTCCTGTCGACTCGCTTTCGTCTTTGGGGGAGGAATTCCAACCCATGGTTCGGCGTTTGACTCATCCGGACACCGATCGTCGTCTGAGGCCGGGATTGCACTAGATCGATCGGGGTTCGATACGTCCTGTGAAGCTTTGTCTTCCTGAAACTCCTTCAACGCTGTAAGGGAAGTCTTGCTGAATAAACCGGATAATATTTACTCTTGCATTTCCATCATTAATGAAGTAAGGTAAGTACATGGTAGAGATACTCCTTTTCACTGTCATTACCTAGCACACGGCATTTGACATTTACAGTACCTCAAATATTCAGCGAATGTTTGAGAGGTGACCTCAGACTGGAATGGATTGTTATAGAACATTTTGTCACCTAAAAATCACCTCACCTCTGTCCAACTTGCTGGCAAGATCAAATTTCTTTCTCTCCCGCAGGATGCTAACGAAAGCTGCGAAAGCATCGTCTCCGCTCCGAGGCAGGCATTCCTGGAGAAAGAGGACCTTCTCCTTCGATTTCTTCTTCAGAATGTCGAAATACTCCCTGTGAGTAATGATCCCTTTGCCACGTAGGTCGCACAATACCTCATCAATATCGACAAACTCCAGCTCATTCGAGTGACGAACGAGGATCTGCGCCATGCCTTCTATCTTGCTTTTCTCCCCTGTAACAATTTTTTTTTCTCTCATACGCAATCAGCCAGATACTAAAGCTGAGATGGTCGCGTTTCCTTACCCATTGAAAGGAGACGTTGAGACGAGATGTTGAAGCAATAAATGTTGATTGACGTTGATGGATAGTTTTTCATTCTATGTCAAGAATGCATCATTGATGCATCGTGGTTAAATAAAATCGTGGTCATGAGATAAGGTCTGTGACATTATTAATCGCAAGCATATCTCCTCTCACCAATGCTGCAAAAATGAGTAAGGAATTGACTACGTGAAGACGTAACCGTCGGGCGACTTTTCCTCGAGGCTTATGTTATGACAAAAAGTCATGATATACTGTAGTAGGCTAAGTAATACTACATCCAGCATGGATGGTGTTGCAGAAAGTGAATGAAAAATTTGCAAGAATCTTCATTGAATCACGAATCGAGCCCTTGAACTCCACATGGAGGCTGGTGATATTCCTGCAAAGTAGTGCAAAGTACTACTGCCACTCGTGTCAGTGATGAACCTCACCAAAGCGTGTCTTCTTAGGTCACCTGTTCCGTGCAGATGAATTATTAGGACTGGTGATGTTAGAGCATCATGTTGCAATGCCTATCACTGGGATTCCTAGAAGATTGGGTCCGTTCCTTTCCTCCTTAGATAAAACTAATCACTAGGAAATATGTTTCGAGATGAACCAGGTGTTTATGGGAAGACATGCGCATGGAGAGTGTGAGCACTTCAGCCTTTCTCGATGGGACGGATTCTTGCATTAAAACGCATGTAATCGTGGTATTGGTGATTCCTTTTCACAGGATACGATCGAGTGCTTTGAAAGGACACTTCTCTGTCAGATAGCGGAGGCACATGAGGCTGCTGTGAGGTCATGAGAGCATTCCATATCATTAGGGGGCATAGAAATACGATGCTATATAAGTATAGAAGCATGGCATAACAGAAGCTCGAAGTTAATGGCTTATTATCGATATTGCAGGTATTAATGTGATTATGAAGCTTTCATATTCCCCATGTACTGGATCACCTCTGAGTCATTCTATACGAACCAAGCAGGGATCTCGATCATCTAGGATTTCACAATGAAAAATCTCAGCGACGTTTGTCAATCTAAGGACTCCGTAAAAAAAGGAATCTACTACTTTGGATCTGCTGTTAGCGAGATATCATCTCTCAAATTCTGGATGGAAGTTAGGAAAATCCCACGGACGGCAGCATTTTCATACCATGTTCATCGTGCAATGGCTTGAATCGGAGCTCCTCTCGCATTCGGAGTACACCACCCGCGATAAGGAACGATCGTAGGACATCCAAACTATCACGCTACGTCTTTGATAACTGGCAGCTACCTCTATCGAGACTTGTGCATTGACAAGGAAGCATCAATGGGCCGATTGGATGCATTGGAATGAAAGGTCATTTCTCATCAAGAGAAAGACAGAAGTCCTCACTAATTTCTCTATGAGGATGGATGATCCTTCTGGAAACGTCAATCGAGAACCACATTTGATCGCGATAAGCTTATCAGAAGAGGAAAGACACTAACTCATCCTTCAACGGATTCGAGTGATATATTCCACAATGTGGTGCACACACATCAGCAGTCCAAACCGATCAAACCCTCCTTGGGGAGACTCATCGCAGAAGTGGGTGATTAAAGTGCTTTGAAGTACTTTTTAGGATTACTGCCAGCCTACAGGTGGTGTCCAGTGGCTGGAATCGTGACTCGATGAATATTGGGAGGCATTGAACCTTTTTTTAAATTTACTTTCTGACATCCTCTAATGCTGGATGTAGTTTTTACTATATCATTAAGAATGGTCTTCGCATGAAGCGAGGTACAAACCTCCCAACGGGTACATCGCTTCGTAGCCAAATACTTCCTTATTTTTTTATAGCGTCAGTGAAAGAAGATAAGCGTTATCATAAAAAGAGCCATCGACTGTATCTCATGACGATGATATTCTACTTAGAACCAATATATGGTGAACGCATAGTTGACATCCTGCGAAGAGAAACCCGACAAATCTCTTCCACGATTCGTCAATGGGTGAGGAAACGCGACCACATCTTAATCTCGCCGATACCTTATTACAGAGAAACTCGTTGTCTCTCATGTTTTCAGGAGAGAAAAGGGAGTGCAACTGCGTGGCACAGACCCTCGTTCGTCACTAGAAAGAGCTGCAGTTCATCAATTGTGATGAGGTTTTGCGCGACCTATACGTCAAATATCAATAGATTGTTACTTACGATGAGTACTTCGACGTTGCAAAGAAGAAAAAGAAGGACAAGATCCTGTTTCTCCAGGAATGCTTGCCAGGAAGAGGAAATAATGCATTCTCTACTTTAATTGAGGTCTTGCGAAACTGGAATCACGGCGACATAGCCAACAAGTTGGAAGAAGGTGAGCATTTTTACATTAAAAAAAGGAAAATATGTTTAATAATTTCTTAAAGTCGGATATGCAAAAAATTACAATAAAGGAAAATCAAATTTACGGCAATTTGAGATGGGAGTAATCCCTCGAATATAAGTAGAGTATCTGGTACGTAAGCGCGGATTTGATCCACAAATGCCAGATGCATCTTGTAGAAACTCTTAACAGTGAGAAGGCGAAGCTCTGCTCCCATATGAATAATTCCACTTTATCTATGAGCAGGGTGTGCCAAAAGTCAAGATCCAGGGAAATTACATTTTAATGCAAGTACTGTTCAGTATACTGCTAAGAAACATTGTCAAGTATAACATTTAAAATGACATTTTTAAAATCAATAATCTTAGTCCAATATGAATTACTGAATATAAGGTTGGGGTCAAAAGTGCACGCAATGGACTATATTTACAGAAACCATACATGTCCCGATTTTTGGGACACCATGTAAAAGTAAAACTTTGGAAAGGAAGTCATGGGTCTACAGAATGTGTGTACACAAATTGCGGAAGCATCGCGAAATAATGTATCCATACCACATATCTCCTCGTAAGCTTCGTAAAACGTAATGCAAAGTGACTAAATCGAATATACTTTATTTGCAGGATTGGAAAAGGTTTTAAATGCAAATGAAGATTCCAGATCGGCAAGCGACGGGTGTCTCCTTCCGGTGTGACTCGGGCGTACCGGTGGGTCATCGATCTCCATTTCGCCGCTTTATTCATGTAATATCGAACGAAATCAATGTCATTGATTTCGTTGAGCGGCTGTGCTTCTGCAGGTTCGTAGCTGTCTGTGTGGGTCATGATAATTGCCTTGATTGACTTGTTAGAGGCCGTAATGGGCTCAATGTTGGATTGCCAGATGCGAAATGCAATCGTGAAAGAGACATGAGCTCGTAAATGGTTTTCGAGGTGTTCCTTTTTCTTTAAAGAAGAACTGGGCTCCCACTTCGTCCCAGACAGGAGAAGTTGCAAAGAATGATGGAGTGCCCTTTTTCACGACGAGATTCGATTATCGCCACAATCAAATTGAGGTCGCAAGATGCAAGAGATTGATCGTTTTCCCAGAAACTGGAATTTTTCTTCCTTTCAGATCAGCTACTTTTTCATGCATGTGTCGACAAAAATTGGCCATGGTTCCATCATACCCGGGGGCTGACTGAATCCGAGTGATTATTTCCATCATTTCGCCTCGAGGAAACTTACCTGCAAAAGAAAGCATCGGGAAGGATTGCAATCCTCAGATTATCTGCTGAATCCCTCCCTCATTCATCGGTTTTTGTCAAGGCCGACAGTCAATCCTTACGTTGTTATTGCTATTGTTATTGCTGTTATCGTTAATGGCACGGTTCGTGTGCTCTGTTTCCCCTCTCCCGTGACAATATAGGAGTATAAAAAATTATTTACATATCGCCGATAAGACACCCATCGAACGATATCGCTATAATCGGCACAGCCCTAAGTATAAGTGACATCGTTGCCTGGATATCTGCCTTATCGGGGTCCAGGCTCTTTCTTCACTTTGATGTTTGGCAAACGCTCTTGAAAAAGCTAAATTCAGCTGTCCTCGGAATAATAAAGGCTCAGGAAGGTACAATCCCATTCGTTTGAATGTTTCCCATATGGCACTTGTTGATAGTCATGGCTAAGGCAACACAGCTTGGAAATAGTCGTCGTTTGATTTTGAGAGACATCGTCGGCCGTGCTTACCATTTAGATTTCTCATGACCATGAGGAATATACAATGCTTAAAAAATCAATTTATGGGGAGTAAGTCCAGCTGGAGTGAGGATGCTGATGAACTCTATTGGATTATTGTTTTGATTTTGGTTATCCGAGACTGCACTGACTGTAATAGGTATCTCGCATGCTCCAGTTCGCATATTAATTCATGGTTTTTGTTGAACAGTAAATTAATGATTTCATCACCCCAAAAAACTTGTAAGTTCGTAAACGAACGCGCAAGTTTTTGTAAACATGTAATTTTTCCGTGTGGAAGTACCTTTGTTTTGGGGGACTCATAGGTCCTTCCAGTTTCTTAAACATGCATATAGGTTGCAACATTTTCTTGTGTCTTCCGATGGATGCCTCCTCAATGGATTGAAAACAATGAAAACAAAACAAGCATTTCAGTCTTCCTACATTCTCATTTCAGTTCATTCAGTCTTGCCATTTTTCAACACCAATCAAGGCATATATATGCCTACCTTACTTAAGATGATTGAGATTTTCTAGAACTTTAAAATCCATCTCATAATATCAAAGTTATCTCAGCTTTTGGTTTAATGTACAGAACTTTGCCATTTCACTAAGTATTTATTGTGAAGCTATATACGATTTTCAGACGGCCTAATTTACTCGTTCAAGTAAAGTAATAGAACGAGAGAATGGCAAGGTACTATTAATACAATACTGGCAATGAGTTATTCTTGACACTGAAGACTTGTGCTTATTTTGTTATTATAATGAAACCTTCATGACGATGGACAATGATGAATGAAAGGAAACATTTCTCTTCAAAATGGAACCTGTCTTTCTATGGGAAAACTTGCACGCTTTAATCATGGCCTAGTATGGTTTGACAATGAAATAATTATTTTAGTGACTTTTATTCCATATACTAAGGTTCAGATTTGCAATTTGATTAGTGGGTTTTGAATTTGTTGAATCTCTGCACTTTAAAATTTTTTATGATAGAAAGCCCCATCATTATCATATGAGAAGTTTCATATTTTAAATAAGTAAGCCTCCTGCTACATTCGGGAATAATTATTAATTTCAAAGTCTGGAGTGTAGAGATCATAGAGGTTTGGGATGGGTTGCTTTGGCGTATATTGAAATTGCCCCAGAATTGTGAGGAAATATAAGATGAACAAAATAATTAGACTTATAATCTTACTTCCACCGTTTCTTAATATTCCACCCTTTTAACAATAGTTGTCCATTGTGATCGTATTTTTCCTTGAATTAATGAAATTGTCATTTCACTATTTTCAGAAGCAAGATAAACAAATTATCTAGGATATTTCAAAGTAAGAATATTTCAGGAAAAACTGTGAATGTGAAAGGTTTCGAAATTGTTTATATGCTAATCAAAGGTTTATGTATTTCCAGGCATAGAGAACATCAAGGCTTTGGATGGGAAGCAAGAGGGTATCTATGAAAATCCTGAAGGGATCCTCGACTTCCTCCGCAAGCGAGGAAAGGGGAAGGACGTTCTGCTAGACGAAGTCCCTCTCACTCTGGGGTTCCATGGCCACATGGACGATAAAAAACTTTCCGAGCAGTGGACGGAGATATGCAATCCTGAGAAGAGTGCAAAGTCTCTCACAATCGCGTTCCGTCCGAACGACGCGACCTACACGAGAGACATCAATCTCGAAACAATGAAGATCGGAGGGGCTAGCATGAACACCTTAAATGTTGTAAAGAGAAACACGATTTTTATTTCGGAATTATTTCTAGCCCTCGCAGATTATTCACGTCGGATATTTGTGAGCAAAGAACCTACCTTGCGAGATATGGAATTCTGTCAATCCAACAAAGAGTTCGTACCAACATTGTTCCCCATTCCTTCCTGTCCCACCATACACAATTCATGCAAGAATATATCAGCGTGCGAAGCAGTGAGAGCCTCTGTGGCAATACTAATGATTCGTGAATCCTCTGGAAACGAAAAGCCTTTGTATGCGGTCGTAGACTCGGAGGAACGACGCAATCGGCTGGTAAATACCCTCGCGCATGTGTTCAACACTGAAGTTACCTGGATGGATTCAAGCGAAATATTCCATGGACCCCCTAACTCTTCTATCATAGTATTTACTGATGCCCAGATTCTGGGATGCCATGAAGACTGTGAGTTCGTTATCATGGATCTAGCCGACTGCAAATGGAGAAATTATATCCGCATAGTGTCCTCGTGTTTCGATAATGTGACAATCGTTATGGAGCAGGAAGCTCTGCGAACGGGGAAATATCAATATTTACAAATTAAGATGAGCATGCCAGCGTTTAAGGAAAACTCTGAGATTGACCAAGAAGTGTTCCTGAAAGCTCTCAATGGGAAAATGGAGAAAGCTTGGAAACTGAGTGCAGGAGAGATAGCTCATTTGGACGAGAAGAGATATTCTTCCAAAATGATTATTTCCATGAATAATACAACGCAATCCTCCTCTCCTATTAAATGGAAAAAGTCAAAACTAAAAGTCATTTTCGGACCTCCATCTTCAGGAAAGAGCATGTCATTGTTTGACAGTATCCAGAAGCTTGCTAAAAAAAACTCCGGCGGAGAAATGGACCAAATTCTCCTGCTCCATATGGGAGGACCACTCAGCTGGAAAGTTTCCTTGGATTATCTGCGTCCAAATGCACATAAGCTACATGTGCTTCGGTCGGAGCCATGTGCTCCCAAAGATCTCATCGACGATCATCAATTGGAGGTTATTCGGTGGAAATACCCCGATTCGAATATCCACATCCATGTTGACGATTATCTCGTCCAGGCCCAGAGTACTAAGGAGGAAATTCAAAACTGGACTAAAGTAGTCGATGCATTAAAAGAAAACGAACAAAATATGACACTAACGGTTGTATTCCAGTCACATTCAATATGTGGTCGAGTGATCTCTATGAAGGAACTGTCATCGTCTTTCAAAGTCGCTGGGGCGCAAGTGATCATTACCTCTGCATATGAAACCCTTTGCTGCCAAACTAGTGGCTGGCTTCTCAATCACATTCGCGAGAATGAGACCCAAACGCACTTGAGACTTGAGGCAAAGAGCCTTCCAACAGCGTCCCGCCCAGGTGCCATCGTCCATGGCCTTAAACCCAAGTACATCACCATGAACTATCACTGTGGGGACCATCATCTGAGTTATAGTTGCAAAGGACAAAATCATTGCATGAGTTATGTTGGAGCGTTTCTCTGCTTCCGTTTCGCTCTGACACAAGCCATCAATGAAAAGCTGTCACTAGTTCCCGTTTTGATCTCGGACGGAGAGTTAATGTCTGCTTTGGAAGCATTCAGTGGAAATCATGTCGCAAAGCTGCAATTTCTGCATCCAAAAGACTTTCGAGGATGCGAAGCGAAAGCTTGCATTTCAGTGAATGTTGAGGATTCCTGGCTCCTGGAAAGCGTATCCAGAGCCCGGACGGATCTTTACATCATTGATTGTCTGCAAGATCATCAACACGTTTGGCAAACTATGCTCGAAGAAGGACGATTGGAAGAGATTGTAATTCCTGAAGATTACACTGGCCTAGACGAACCAACCCTCATGAGACTGAATAGCATCGGCAACTTCCTACGTTTGGTAAACTTTTAATTGGTAACATTTTAAATTCTCTGGAAAGGTGACTGAATCAAAATTTCTTCTCGTTGGAATATGACCGTTCCTTATGATATTTGCAACCCGAATGAAATCTAGACTTCCATGGTATTTTGGGATTCATAACTGATTCGAATGAAAATTGGATAATTCTTCTTTCACTCCTTTTGCTTATTTTCAGATTTCTAAATAATCCTTTTTGTATCTCTTCGTGAAGTTCCAGTGTCATCTATTATTCCACCATTATTCGCACTCAACTGAGAACCATTGCCGTTGAGAGTAGACTCACGTTGCGTAAGCGCTGAATTGTCAACATTTGGAGATGACCTTTTTTTTTTTCCTGACCTCAAACGCGTTCTAATATTAATTAGAGCTTGAATTTACTCAGTGACCACTATCATTCGAAAGAGAGGTCCTTCTGAAGACGCAACTTCCTTTACTGATGAGATTTTGAGCTACGTTCTTGAATGATACAACCTATTCTGCACGGTAAAGGAGTCACTTTCCTGGAATCACCACTAGATTTATTGCCCATGCAGGAGGATAGCCAGACAAACTCCCGCAAGCTAGTTAATACGCCTTCATTTTCTAAACATATCAGTGGTCCATGTCATTTGTTGAGCCGTGAAGTAAAGTTGGCAAATACGGCATGTCTCCTTGGACTCCTTGCCTGAAATACGTAGAATTTCCTTCGGCCAGGTTAACTCCTCCAAGGGTCTATTCCATCTAGGATTCCAAAAGCCTTTTCTCAAATTGTACATGGCAACACATGGGGTACCGTATGAATAACACAAGGGACTGTATTGTTCAGTTCATCAGGGTGAGGATCGCTATATTGACTGTTTGGTGGTATCTCGCTTGGCAATTGGTATAATCTATTTTCTATCGAGAGGTTGCGTATAACTTCATGCTGAAGCAACATTGAGACTATGATGTAGGTAAATGGGAGAAACAAATTCTCCTTTAATATGCTTTCAAACGACTTTGCTAATCCATGAGTATTCTCAATATTATGAAAATGCAGTTCTTTACGAATAGCCACCATTTCATACATTTCGTATTGTTCGCCGAATTCACAACTTCAACCATATCTCATGTCATCATTTGGTCAATGTTGTGAAAACTTTTTTGTACCAAATGCGTAAGATATCTCTTCCCTCAAGGCCTAAAATTACTCATTGAAAAAAGTTTATGCCAAGCTTCCAGAGTTCTCTGTTACCAGGGCCATGAGAGACTGATTAGGCCGGCGATTGGGCTAACGTTACACATTTTTGAGGAAGTGTCTGGAAGACCAGGAATTATTCCGTAACAGGTTGACTGCCACGAGGCGCACCGGTGGGCCTCAATGAATAGGAAAATCAATAGGCCAGCATTTCCGTGGCGGTCAACGCGTTGAAGGCCTAATTTTTCCGAAGGTCGAGGATTGAGTTTCTTTTGATCGAAAACAGCTTGCCCAAGGCTTGATCAGAAGTAGGCCTAACGTAAGTGAGTTCTGTTCAGAAATGGGGAAAAGTGGGGGCGTGAAGTCTGACATTGGGGTTGTGGTTGAGAAGGAAAACCCTTGAGATTTGTTTTTCACATTACTACATATATATTTATTCTCTGGTCAAGAAGAACTCGCAAGACACGAAGCCTCAGCGCCTCGTGATATAACGTAATTCCATCACCATTGTTGCACTTTAAAACTTCGCTTTTGGGGCACTTCAAGGAAGACGAAAAAATAGAGATTTGAAAACATATTTCGCTCTTCATTGGCTATCATGAGCTAACAAAACCACTCATGCCGACATATGTATTATTATGCAAAAGGTGCTCAGTCAACGAACTTTTAAATTATCATAATTAATTATCATAATTATTTTTAATTATGTGGATGAAAGGTGATCAATGAATCATTTATGCTCAGAATTTGTTGTTCCAATGAACAGTATACTCGAATTACTGAGGGCTCCCATTTCGGCACCCTAGGGTGCATGTAATGAGCTGATTGTGCTATATTTTCAAAGAATGTAAGAACGTGTTTATCCTTTCATGATTTTACGTGTGCCAGTAAGATTCCAGGATAATCGATAGTCAGTGCACGTTTATGAGGTAGAACATGGTACCTTCCTTTTTCCTAGGCGCTTCTCATTCCAAACAGTAACTATTGTGGCCAATTGCGCGCCATTCATCAGCCATCTCCATTAATTTTCGAAGGTTCTTCACTAGTAAAATTCCCTACTTCAGATTAGGAACAGTACAAAAATAGGTTATCTAAGGATCTTTTGAAACAAGACCATATACCTTGTGTGCGATTGCAGCGAAATTAATAATTAAAATTAATTTGGTAGGAAAGCCCTGCTCAAGGAAGTCTGCCATGATCGTCATGTTTGGTTTAATTAGCAAATTGTCTAATGCATTTTTCTGCTCTAATAATGGCTTGGCGTGAAGTACCCTACTCATCCCATGTTCTTCCATGATAATACATTTTATTTTTTTCCCTCTCACTCTCCTTCTTCACCCTCTCCATTCTTTACTTTTCAGGATGTCTACAAGATGACTTCTATTCCCCGGGGGCAGGCACTTGTCATGAACATTGATACATTTGAACACGGACATAACATGAAAGGCTCAGACGTTGATAAGACCGAGATCGAGACTCTACTCCGCGATAAACTGCATTTCGAAGTCACAGTTGAAGAAAATCTACGGTTCCGAGTAGGTTTTACTTGCCCTGAGGACTTTTGAGTTATGATGGCATTAAGATGATGATTAAGGAACGTGTGAACATCAGTGGCTTTCTCCAGCAAAAAATGTGAAAACGGAAAGCACCATCTGTATGCTATCATTGTGAATCAGTCTTAGAATTGTTTAAATCTCGATATTCACCCATTTAGAGAAACTAAGGAGGTATGCCTAAGATATCGCACTTATTTGAGAGCTGGAAGCAATGCCAATATGGGATTAGAGCATGAAAGTCTTGGATTTCCTGGCAGGAGATGAGGGAAAAACTGGAGGAGTTCGCAGAAATGACAGATCAACACAAGAGCGGCGACTGTTGCATCATTGTAATCATAAACCATGGATGCCAAAGCCCAAACTCCCCCTTTGTGATATTCTCATCTGATAAGAAGTCGCTTGAGGTGGAGTGGATTATTCAAAGGTTCAGCGCTGTTGACGCATTGAAGGGCAAACCAAAGATTTTCATCATTCAAACTTGCAGGTTCAAGTGCCGCCGTTCACAATCCTAGATTTACCTGTAAAAGGTGTATGTCATAGAGGTCACCGTGAGCTGCTTTTTCAACAGGAATGGAGAAGGACCATTTTGGGAGTCTTCTTTCGAGTTCAGTAACGATTTGAGGGGAGCAGATGGGGGAACAATTTCTCAACACGATACTTTCGTGGCCACTTCTACCATACCATGTAATGTCTCGTTCCTTATATTGGTTAACTGTGACATTACGCATATATTGTCGGATTTTAGAACAACCTCAAGATTTTTATATGCGCTTCTACAAAAGTGCACATGTAAGTGGTTTAATTAGGCATCTCGCAATTCGTCCCAGATTACACATCCTGGAGGCACGTGTTCAGAGGGTCATTTTTCATCCATTCTATTTGCAAAGTCTTCCGCACGTTCGCCAGCAGCGAGGACTTCCTAACGATGATGAGAAAGGTACGTTCCTCTCAGTGCACTATGCAAATCGGAGAAAACCGATTTATGTTAAATGTTCATGAAATGTCTCTCCCCAAAGAGTCTCTCCCCATCAAATGTCTCTCCCCATCACCCAGTGATGAGGTGGCAGAACTGAATAAAAATGAGAAATTGAAGCAGTGTCCTGCTGTAGAAATCCGGGGGAGATACAAGACATTGTACTTCCTCGGAAGATGATCCTTGGGTGGTATTGAAAAACAAAAAAAAAACATGTTGCCACTGAATTGAAGAGTGGAACATTATTGATGAACTTGCGCATCATACTAAATATAAGGTGATTAAAGAAAGCTCTTCCCTTTTCTGTGGGAAAAACAAAGTTTAATATACGGAGGAGAAAGTATACATTTGTTATGGAATCGACATTCGACGGTTGCATGGCGTTTCGATATACAGGGTGGGCCCCAAAAAACCGCCCCAAATTTGAAGTTTAATAACTTGGGCTCAATTTTTAAAACGGCACAATGAAGCTTGTTCAATTTTCTTTTGAATTATATATAATTTTGGGGAGTTTGCTTCAGAGAAATGGCCGTTATTACAGTTTAAAAAGAAGTGACGAAAAAATTTCCTGAAAATGGGCTTTTACTCCCAGTTCCTTTTCCTTAACCTCGAATTTATCAGTCACACGCACACAGACCTTTTTAATGACCAAAATATGGTTCAATTTGTCCTCCTCCACAATCTACAACAGCCTCGTGTTACTCGCCTCATGATCGCATGATCTCTCATCAACCAATCCGTAACATGCAGGGGCGCGAGGGAGTAACAGGCGACAGCAGCAGCGCGGCATTGGAAAGAACTCAGGAAACCTGTTTTCAGGAAAATTTTTCGTAACTTTTTTAAATACTGTAATAACGGCTATTTCTCTGAAGCAAACCCCCCAACATTATACATCATTCGCGAGAAAATTGAACAACCTTCATTTTTCTGTTTTAAAAACTGATATTGCCCCAACGTGGTCCAAGTTATTAAGCTTCAAATTTGAGGGCGTTTTTTTTGGCCCATCCTGTATGTAAGCTTTTTTTCCAGCACCCCTTCCTATGCCGTGCCTTGTCCATTTTAGGGGTGAAACGTAGGTGCAGAGAGGTGCATCATTCCACCTCAGTGGGTTAATGATCTATGCTCAACCGTCTCACAATTTAATATAATTTGGCGAACGGTGGTTTTATTTTAGGAATAATCGCAGACATAAAACGTATGTCTGTACTCTGAACAGAGGCCGGGAAAAGTGCGTTTTCATTTGATCATAGGGGACACAAAATGGCCCTTAATCCCAAAATGTTGCATTCATGACCACGCGGTCTTATAATTTCCCCACGCTATTTTGATTTGCTGTAACTCATCAGGGAATGATTAGATACAGTTGACACTTGTCAGAGACATGCATAGGAGTCAGACGCTATATATTTAAATATAAATAGATGATCATGATTGAGTGAGTGAGCGACTGACGCTAATTCTAACAATGTTCTAGGCAAGTTATGGAGCTGAAACCTGGTATACATGTTGGGATGCAGAGTTAATAAAAATCCGACTTGGTAGGTACATTACCTGGGGGTCCCCATTTTAGGGGGAGATGTTATCAAACACATATATTTACTTCAGTCAAACGGAGAGACATGGTAAGGTGAAACTTGCCATGGATGTGCTGATTGATGCACAAAGTTCAGGAAGAATGTCAAGTTTCACATGCGTGCTCTGGGGCATATTTTTGGGTGGTGACACTTTCAAATATATATCTTTTTCTCCCAAATTGGGCAGAGAGTGAAAGATGAAACTTAATACAAAAGTACCTATTGATAACTTCAATTCAGAAATACTTAGACTTTGGGGTTAAATAGCGTGGGTGCACAAATTTCAAGGGGATATTAAATTTTTTGGCTGAAGTGAAACTGATGAAAATTGAAAGCTGAAACTTGACATGGACTGAGTACTGAGACTCTGGATTCTGTGAAAATGTGAAGTTTCGGATGCATACCAAAGAGGAATATTTTTCGGGTTGGACGTTTTCCTCATGTCCTACCGAATTACGGAGAAAAAAGTCAAAACTTGGCACATCAACAACTGGAGGTGTTGGTGAGCTTAGGAGAAATTCAACGTTTGTGGTGCACATCCTCAGGGCACAGCTTCTTGCTGCGTTAGCATTTCCTAATATATTTTTGCACCAGCAAAAAGAGTGATTGGATGAGGCTGAAACTTGGCAGACATGTATGTAGTTAGGGTATTGATTCCAGTTAGAATGTTACTTTTTAGGTAAAACCTAAGCGGCATATTTTTTTTTTATCAAAGGCGTATTTCCCGGAATCTTTTTTGATCCAATGACAGAGAGAGAGAGCTAAAATAAGTTGAAACTTCCAGCAGAAGTATCTGTTCGGTTGCTGAGTGCATAACATACTTATGTGCCACTTTGAAAGTAAGTTAATGAATGCGTCAGTAAGCTCGAAAATGGAGTGCCGAAGGGCGACCATTGTTTTAAATACGCAAGATTTACATGCGCAAGATGACGCTGTATGTCAATACAGTAGACGGCATTGTTCTTGACATAAGGCCCCCCTATCTTCATGATAAACACTACTTTTTTGGTAGGAAACAAAAAACAGTAAGATATATTTTTGAGGCTTTGAATCTTACATGAACCTCTCAGCCACAAATATTAGTATGATCTGAGTGCCCTTTCAATAGATTTGGTAGTGAATGCGATTTTGAATATAAGGGATTAGGGAATTATCGGTTTAAGACCAAAACTGGGCCAAGTACTCTAATTGAATTTTGAGATGATGGAACAAAGATCATTATTATATTAGAGGTGTTATGATCCACCTGTAAATTTTGTAACGTTAGAATGCATAGCTCAACAAATTGTTTTGAGGAAAATCTAGATAATCTTCTTAACACCTTGTATGTCTCCAATATCAAGGGTTTGTGAATCGTATAATTTTTCCTTGCATATACTAATTTAACCTTCTCCAAAAGAAAACGATGGAGTGTTTATTTTGAACCACTCTCTATATCGTCATCTAGGTTTAGTTTGTATTTGATGTCATGATATACAAAGTTTGCTACACTCGCGTGGCACATACCTCACTGACATATTTGATGGTAAGAGAGCACAGACAAATCTGAATTTGTTGACATTGCTTACTTAGCACACAGAATCACCATTACTTTCATGAAATAAATTTTCATCTTAAATAAATATGCGTTTCATTGTACATCACAGTGAAAATTTACACGTAATCGTCACAAAGATGAAACCGAGTCGGTACATTTTTAAATTGTTGAAAAACTGCCTTTTCACTAACAGTTCCTCCCCAGGTAAAGGTTTTCCTACAAGTATGGAACCACTGAAGGAATGAAGTCTGCAAACCGGTTTACCATTAAAATTGTTTTTATTAGTGTTTTTTTTTGCTACAGATGTCTGAAGAACGAATAGAGAAAGTACCCTTACCTCGCCAACTTGCTTCAAGAGAAGATGCTGAAGCATTTAGCAATGAACGTTCTGATCGTTAGCCAACCATTCATGATGAGTTCAACAAGTCAAGTGCAATGCTCAAGGACATCAGTAAGACAAAGATTAGACCAAGATGTGCCCTTACGAGGAATGCAACTGAAGAAGCAAAAATTACATGTTTGTCTTGCCGAGGATAGATAACTCCTCATACAACATGAGATAACTGGGAGATAATGCATGGAAACAGGAATAAGGCAAACGACCCTAATCACTCCTTCAAGAAACAAAAGTGTTATTCGAGAAATTTCATTAAAGATATTACAGTTAATAGTAATGCATTCTGTCTGTCAGCTTCAATGCAGCATGAATACGACTCCTGGTTTTGCCAGTACAATTTAGGATGAAGCCAATATATATATAAACGATTAAGCGAATAACCTAAATAACCGCTAAAATAACCCCTAATGGAGTTCTGAAAATTCTCGTAGTATGGAATCACCGGAGGAACAGTTATGTTTGAAGCTGTTTTCGCATAGGATATATGACGCTCAAGCCGAAGGCCAATTTAGTCTTTTTTATGGTGGGAAACAAATTTTCGATTACTTCTCCCTTTGCTCAATTCACCCACCCCCCGCCCCTTTTACACGGAATTCTAAAGTTAATTCGAGGCCCATGGACCTTGAGTCTCAGCTATTGTTTTTCGTTCAGAAGAATATCAATCTTCAACTTCCATGGCCAATTAGACCCATGAGGGTCAATCTCGGGATCTACGAGACATCTCCATGAGGATGTATAAGGTCAGGGCTGCTGCAAGCCTATTCCGACTTTCAAATCCGATATTTGTGCCGATGTATCACGTGAGGTCTACCTGGAGTTTTTCTCACCATCTTGACGTCTGTGGACAGAATCTCTCCGAGGTTCAAATGCACGTTAGACGCCAACATTGGGAGGGGTGTGGATGCACGGTATGCCATTTCTCACCACGTCCTTCAGACACCACTAATAACTGTGTTTCTCATGCCATCCAATTAATTCAGCCGAAAAATAATGTAATACAAACTTCCAAAAATGCCAGCACCGTTACGAAAGTAGAGCACGTCATTAAAGATGACATCCTACATCGGTTTCAGGATGGCTGCGCATAATTTATAGCGCCTTTTGCTGGTAGAGGCTAATGAGAAACTTATATTTTTGCCACACGGTAATGTGACATTGATTTTTATGAGCTCGAGGTTCCTTATAAGCTTCAGTTGCACGATGTTTCTTCCCACTTTAACGCTAAAACCACTCTAGACACGGGAAATACGTTACATACACTCACCCAATGATACCTTTAAAATAATATTGCATTCTATGTGATTTTCGCACAGGGATGTTTGAATGCACAGGGGAACTAGGTTCATACAACGATCTAGACTACCATGACATTGCACTGGATGCAACTGTGGAATGATCAGATATGAATATCACTTACCATTTGTCTGTCCCATTGTACTCGTCATATTGAAGTCCTCCCAGTTCACTTTGGTTCTTCCACGATCATCCCAACAAATATACTTCACACAATAATGCGATTTGTAAATGCTAATATGATTACATTTTTGGTGAAATTCCAGCAACTGGCCCTCGGAAAAGAAGCAATGGGAACCTCAATGCTTTACAAAGAGAAATATTGGAAGAATACTTGTTGTGCCTGTTCGCAATCTCGCATTCAAGCAGAACAAACTGAAGAACAGTTGCTCCGATTTTAAGACTCTGTTGCATGAAGGCAAAGACTCAAGAGTTTTCCGGTACATGGAGAACGGTATTTCTATTCGATGAGCTCTATCTAAAGAGGATAGACACAGACTCAATCTTCCACGAATGCAGGCAATATGTATTGGGCTGTGATGCACGCACATCAGTAGTCCAAGTCAAANATGAGCTCGAGGTTCCTTATAAGCTTCAGTTGCACGATGTTTCTTCCCACTTTAACGCTAAAACCACTCTAGACACGGGAAATACGTTACATACACTCACCCAATGATACCTTTAAAATAATATTGCATTCTATGTGATTTTCGCACAGGGATGTTTGAATGCACAGGGGAACTAGGTTCATACAACGATCTAGACTACCATGACATTGCACTGGATGCAACTGTGGAATGATCAGATATGAATATCACTTACCATTTGTCTGTCCCATTGTACTCGTCATATTGAAGTCCTCCCAGTTCACTTTGGTTCTTCCACGATCATCCCAACAAATATACTTCACACAATAATGCGATTTGTAAATGCTAATATGATTACATTTTTGGTGAAATTCCAGCAACTGGCCCTCGGAAAAGAAGCAATGGGAACCTCAATGCTTTACAAAGAGAAATATTGGAAGAATACTTGTTGTGCCTGTTCGCAATCTCGCATTCAAGCAGAACAAACTGAAGAACAGTTGCTCCGATTTTAAGACTCTGTTGCATGAAGGCAAAGACTCAAGAGTTTTCCGGTACATGGAGAACGGTATTTCTATTCGATGAGCTCTATCTAAAGAGGATAGACACAGACTCAATCTTCCACGAATGCAGGCAATATGTATTGGGCTGTGATGCACGCACATCAGTAGTCCAAGTCAAATACCCGCCCAGAAGAATTGACAGATTTGATCTCTTCGGGGTGGCTCATGGCAGACGCTAGCGACTGCTGTATTTCGCAGTACTTCGAAGGATCTGTGGTGCCTTGTGGGTTCTAACCTAATGTTGTTCCTACACAAGGTCCCGAGTTATTCATAGGTTCAATATTTTCAGTGATTGGAAAGCAGACCAGTACAGAGGGAAGTTTATATTTTCACTATTTAGAACAATTAGGCTTAGGCCTACAATAGTTAAGAGCAAGAAATGAGAAGGGGAGGGAAGTTTTACAAGGTTACCGGCATAGGCCTGGCCCCTTCTAAAATCTGTGAGTGGTTCAGGTTCTCTTGTTACAATTGGGAAATAACGTTGAAGACAGAGCTGGAGGCCTGAAGGTTGTGGGTTGTAAGGACAGGTGAGTGACCAGACTGAGGTCAGATGAGTGGTGGAACGTTCGGAGATCCCAGTGGAAAGTGATATCAAAAGGGATTCCAGCCCCTAGGCCTAAGTAGGCTCACATCACATAATTTAGTTCCAGGGTTGGAGGTCAATCAGGCCAGAGAAAGCCCTCCTCAAGGACCCTATATAAGTAACATGATTGTAAGGCCTCGGACCATTGATACACTTAGGCGTAACTGTTACAAACTCACACTAAAAGCAGTCCTTGTGTAGGAAGAGAAGACACAGACCAAAAACGGAAATACAGGAACCTTTTGGACCTGGCGCTGCAAGCGTACTTATTCTCTTTTTGACAGGGTTGCCATGGCCATAAGGTGAGCTTCAAAACTCTTGGCACTCATATCAGCCTCAATAAACAAATAAAAATGCGTTGAATTAATAAATATCCTCCCGTTACATATCACCACCAAGGGGAGTTTAGCGGCTAAATTCGTGTCTCGATGAAGATCGGGAGGCTCGTAGCTTTTTTTAATTCACACTCTAGAACATTATGTTGATTATAATATTGACAACTATATCGTGAGGAATGACCTTCATATGAATCAGAGTTCACGTCTCCCAATGATTACATCGGTACTAAGCCAATCCCACCCTCATTTTTTCAGCACAGGCGAAGGAGATAAGATTATGATTAAGGAAATAACCCTCTTTATCTCATGACAATTGCCTGATTCAACGACGTAGAAATGAAAGAGAGTTGAAATCCTGCGGAGAGATACTCTCGATCAGCAAATTTCTTCCTTTCACAAGTCGTCGATGGGTGAGGAAACGGAATCTCATAATCTCAAACGCCTGGCCGATTGCATTCAAAAGAAGGACATTGTCTCTCGTGCGTTACAGAGGAAGAAAGCGTGGAGGCATGCATAGCGAAGATCCTCATTCGTCGCTCGGAAGACTTGCAATACATCTACATCGATAATATTTTGAGCAACCTGCGAGTCCACGATATCATCGCCCAAGCGTAAGACTACGAAAACATTATGAAGACTGACGGAAAAGCTTCTGTTCCTCCAAGAATGCCTACCGCAAAGTGGCGATAGAACTTAATCCACTTTCATCGACGTATTACGGAGGAATGATCAATTTGAATCTTCGGCCTTAGAATTGTTGCCAGGATCCTCTCTTTTTAGTGGGCCTCCTTTCCTGAAAGGAAATAGACAGCTTATTGTCCCGTATGTCAGTGTGTCGCACTTTGGTTGTCTGACGATAGCTAAAGTAAAATTTGCCTGATGAATGAAAAAATTGGCTAGCGGATACATCCAAATAAGTTACAGGCCGAGTTCATTTTCTGAAGATTTTCCACCAAAATTGGCTTTTTTATCAGAAATTTTTCATTTGATATTAGGTCATCTAGGGGAAGGCCAGAGTACCCGTTCGCCCTTCAGGTTCTGGAACACAATGCGCATGCGCGTAGAACTCTGGATATCGGTGCAGCGCTGTCAGTAACAAGAACAATCAGTTCACTACCAACCTTCCTGGCGGATGGGTCGAATCACGCACAATCCTACATCCTCCCATCACCCTTTAACGTGCACTGTTCGTCTATGCTCATCGATGTGGAATGAGGTTTTTGATGGTCGAACACTGGAAAGAGATGAGATATCGTTCAATTAGTTGACGAAATGTTGGTTTCCTTACCTGAAAGGAGACCAACTACTGAACTGGGCTTGCCCAACTAGCTAGGTATCAACTGTCTTCATTTTAAATTAATATATCTCCTGAATCTACTCTTGTATGTCATTATCTCATTTTTCATGAAAATGTCAGATTGCACTGAGGTGACGACTTGCAAATGTCCTACCACTTTTTCAAAGTTTCGTGAGCCACATTCAGAAAGCCTTATCTCCATGGCTCACCCCATGTCAATGGGGTGTGAAATTGTCGTTACTTGTTGCTTGTGACAGCACAAGCAACAAGTAGCGATTGAATTCCGTCTAAGTGAAGGTGTACTGCCAGCAATCATTCATTGCCGCCTTATGACGCTCCAGAGA